TACCCTAAGTGATCACTTGCAACCAAGTAGAGGAAAGCTATTCATCTCTTCCTTGCCTTACCTTCCTACCTAATTAAAGCTTGAAATGTTTGATTCTTAGAGCAGCTAAAATACTTCTTGGACACTAGAAATGGTCCTTGAGAGATTAAGATCTAGTCAAATACTTAATCTTTAGAAAGAAACTCGATTAGATCATATACAGATTAAGCTTTTGAGTTTATTAACAATATGGGAACAAGGGATAATGAAAAATTATCATTAAGAGTTTAATCCCAGCTAAAGTTGTGTTTAAAATAATTTTAGAAAGATTATAAGGTTAACACAATTATAAAGAATGCAAGAAATTGATATTGAATGAGTTTAGAAGAGTTTGTAATCAAACATGAAGAATAAAGCATGAAAAATTATGTTTATACCAAAATAAGTGAGATTATATGGTAAGAGATCATTTGTATTGGTATAAGAGAGTTTTATACCGATATAAGACACGAATAATCTCAAAAATGAAGGTTTGTACTAGTATAAGGGGTTTTTGTACCAAAATAAGGAAGAATTATATGGTTTATACCGGAATAAGACTGTCGATACCGGAATAACGGATACAATTACAAAATAAAATATGGGTCAATTTGTAACGGTCATAACTATTTCATTTTAAGTCTAAATCAAGAAAATGACCTATGGTTGGAAAGCTTTGAATATCTAGTTTCCAAAAGTAGGAACTACTCAAAAAGTCAAAGTATTTTGAGAGATATAATAAAAAAGGTGAGCAAAGGTCAAGGTCATTTTTCTGACGTACTAAAGGCTTCAACAACCAATTTTGAAGACTCATAACAATTTCATATAAAATCTATTTTGAACAAAATTAAGTTCTTTGGAAAGATGTACAAGTTTATTTTCAAATAAAAGAATTTTCACATCAAACGAATTTGTATATTAAGATATATATAGAAAATACTGAATAAAGGTCAAAACCATATATCCCTAAAATTCTTAACTCAAATCATAAATTTTAAGTATTAATAACATAATTCCACTTTGAGTAAATATAACCTTTGAAAAAATTTATGGAGTTAGTTTTTAAATAATATTTAAGATAAAATATTTTCAAATCTTGTGATTATGGTTATACCTCACTATTTATTTTAAAACAAAAATGAATGATAAGATTTAAAATAAATTTAAATAAAAACAATGAGTTTAACATAAAAATTAGAAAGCTTAAAGATATTATACCCATCAAGATCAAGGCTATAATTTATCCAAGCTTATATGTCTTTATTTACTTAAGCTTTTCTTGGATTATATTTCTTTTTATCTTTATGTTCTTCATTCTTGAGTGAAGCATGCTAATGATGGCAATGGCTTCCTCTTCATGCTTACTCACATTGGATAACCTTTAATAATATATCACAATCATAACGGTTAGTTCAAGTATTAATATGCATGAGAATAAATGTAAATGATATTATGTCATGCATGCATATATTTAATTAATATATATTTGTCATCATCAAAACTTAAGTTAAACATAATGGCATAATACATTATGTCCAATACGCTCTAGTAATTTGCAACTGAGACACCATATTTTATAACTTTATTCTGAATAATGGGGAACTCCTGCTCGAAATTTTAGATCAAAGAATTATTAAATTCTTAAAAAATTATTACAGGACAACACTCTAATAATTTGCAACTGAGACAGCAAATTTTACAATTTTCTTGCGAATAATTTACAACTTCTACTCAAAATTTTGGATCAAAGAACTTTAAATTTTTAAAAAAGTTATTATTCTAGGACAGCACTCTAATAATTTACAACTCAGACACTAGATTTGTAACTTTTTTATGAATAATTTGCAACTACTTCTTGAAATTTTGGGTGAAAGAACTATTGAATTCTTGAACTTGCAAAGCTATCAAAATTATTTTAGGACATGACTCCAATAATTTGTAATTGAGATATCAAATTTTGCAACTGCCTTACGAATAATCTGCAACTTCTCAATATTTTGGGTGGAAGAACTAGTGAATTCTTGAATTTGCAAACCTACCAAATTATTTTAGGACATGACTTTAGTAATTTACAATTGACATACCAAATTTTACAACTTCCTTACGAATAATTTGCAACTCCTTCTCAAAAATTTGGGTAGAAGAACTATTGAACTCTTGAACTTGCAAAGCCACCAAATTATTTTAAGACATGGCTCCAGTAATTTGCAACTGACATACCAAATTTTGCAACTACCTCACAAATAATTTGCAACCTCTGTTTGAAATTTTAAGATGACACATTTTTAGTGATCATAAAAGATATAAACTGTACATATAAGCTACATGTATTAATTCATCTAATGCATCTGTATATATCACTTGTTCACATACACACAAGAATGAACTTGAATTTACAAAAGAGGAGTTGCTATATACCAAAAAAATTCCCTAATACTATCAATATATATGTACATAAACCTATATATGTCAACTAAATCTAACTTGATCTAATCTCATATTATAGAAACATCAACTTCGATTTACAAAAGAGGAGTTGTTATAAGCCAAAAAGGCCCCTAAAACTACCCATATATATAAATGTCACCCAAATCCAAGTTCATATGGTAACCCATTTATAGTAACATCAACTTTGATTTGAATTTCTACACCTCTTTTGTGTATGACCTGCTTTATGGCAACGAGAACAATGATAAACCTTCTTTTGCTTCATGGCAACCTGTGTGCAATACTATACTTGTAGATTGCTTGTCTACAATTATCAACACTTGCAAAAATATGCCTAGATCTTACTAGCAAATCCTTCCATTTTGTTGCATTTAGCTTAGGTATTGGTATTGGGATATTTTGTATTGCACATGGTAGAACTTCAAGATCATGTGTAGCATGTGAATTTTCAGCTAAACATCCTGCTCTGCATTTCCATTCAAATCATGTTTATTACTACCATTCATATTTATATTAGCATAATATTAATCATTCAACTATTAAAAAAACTTACCCATCAATTGAATCTTTTATTGCCTTTATACTTTGCTGTATCTTTCTAATAATGTACACATGAGCAAAATTATCCTTCAACTTCATTAATTGATTTATCTCTTCATCATCTTTAAGCTTTAAAAATGCATTACAATCAAACTTTATTGTGTACTTTAACTTTATTCCATTTAAATCATAATTCAAGTATGATGAAATTAATCTAACAAGTCTTTCAAGAAACATTCCTTATCTGATCATTCTTTCAATACAACTCCCCCAATTATAATGCACTGTCCCATGCATATCTTTAAAAATATTTTCACCAAAATGAAAATAACAAAAAATTTTCTTTAAACAACTACTTTCCATCATACCCAATAATATCAACTTACAATAAGCAAAATAAAATATCATAATATATCACTAAAAAATAAGTTACTTTGACATTAACGATTTCTGCATCAATGAGACAATGACAACATTCTATCTTAAAATATGAACACTCGATAATAAATTCTTACACTTTTAGTTGCCAAATGTCAAATCTTCATGCCAAATCTTTAGAAATGTGAAATAAAAAAAAAATTCATGTTTAGTTGCAAAAAAGCATTCCTTCTTTTTCCCTACAAGTGTCATTTTGCAAGAAATCTGAGCATACTTAAGTCAATCTTTTTATTCAGATATAGGGATTTGCCAAAAAAAAAAAATCTAAAACGCACCAGCCAAACAAACTCACGTAGAGAGAGAATAAGCGCTTACCTGAGCCAATAATTAAAGCAACTCCACCTTTTTCAAGCGTAACTTTATTTTAGGAATGTGTATTTTTTTAACTTGTCTCTTCATTACTAACATGTAGCTCTTATTAATGGTGAGAAGGAGTTTGCTCAAGAGAAAAATGTTAGAATTGATGAGTATAGATGTTATATTTAATTATAGGGGCATTTTAGTTATTTCTACTATAACTTTAATTTGTGAAAAAAAGCATGAAATTTTATTGATCTTTTAAAATTACTTAAAACCTAACTTAATTTAACTAATTCCTTTAGAACTTGATTGTTATTTTTTCAAATACCACAAGTAAACCCAAACCCCTTCCATCCTCATCTTCTGTTCCACCACGTTCAAGTCAGTAGACTCCTCGAACCCATCTCAAATGCATCTAGTTTTGGTGCCGTGGAATGATGAACGATTGTACTCATTAGTAAAACGCACCGCTTTGCTCCTTTTTTTTTTTTTTTGGGGGGGGGGGGGGCCTAAACACCGTTTTGCTCGTTAGTTGAGGCTATTTACTCAATCTTTTTGGGAGAATGACTTTAAAAAATCATAAGATTGAATTAAACTTTAATAAGAGCTAAAAAATTTAGAAATCCAAAATAAGAACCAAAAGTTTTTTAATAAATTGGTTTAAAAATTTGCTACTCTCATTTTATAATTTACAATCTTCAAAACAAAAATTCACAAATAAAATTCGTTAATTTGTAAATATAAAAATATCAAATATAACAATACTTGAAAATCTTTTTCTTCACAATTTTACAAATATCACTTACAAAATTTTGTTTTCGAATAGCAAATAAAAATAGAATAACAAATAACAGCAAAATTTTAAAATATTTGACAAGTGTTTTTTGACAAATTAATAAATTTCACTTGAAAATTCTAGTTTTAATGATTACAAATCATGAAATTAAATAGTATGATTTTAGACTGACTCACTAAAACATATTTAATCCTTATTTCGAAATTTTCAAATTTTTTGATCCTTATATTTAAGAATAATTTAATCTTTTACTATAATACCATTCTCCCTTTCTTTTTGGCGCGTAAATTTCATAGGGAGTTGAAGAAAATATTTTTATGAATCAATACATTATTTTTCTTAACCAAAAAAATTATATTTTTATGAAACCAATACAATTATTAAAAAAATTATATTTTCCTTATACTGTTTTTTATAAATCAATAATATTTTTCTAAATTAGATGATTATACATCTGAAATACATGATCAGGGAAGATGATAAGCTCAATGTATCAAAATTACATAGTTGTACCTAAATTTCAATATATCATCACTAACATACGAACTTTCGATAATTGAACAATACCTGAAAAATGTTTAACCACCACTCAAAGTTTTGTTTCCATCATAATTCAGATATTATCACCCAGGGTGAAGCTAAATCAGTCATCTTCTGCGCACAGCAGAATTTGTTCCACGATGGGTCTCAGCACCTGCTTGGCCAGCAGCCGGCTCCTCTGGCATATTCATTGCTTGGGTAATGGCATTCATAATAATGAGTCCTAGCGGGATCAAGTACATCCACTGAAACAAAGATTTCGAGTTAAAATTTTGATTTGGAAAATTGAAAAGGAGGTAGATTGAAAGAAGGGGAGAAAAGATTTTCGACATTTATGTCAGGTAGCTTATACACACTATGTTCTCAATTATAAGACAATTTTAGAGGGTGTGATGTTCCTACTATAAGACAATTTATAAATTTCAATTAATATTTCCCCCTAAAATATCCCTAATTAATGAGTAAAAAACTAGGCCTACATTGGAGTAAAGTTAAGATTGGAAAACACTTTTAAGACATAAATTAGTTAAAACTGTTTTATTAGTATATACAAGTTAGGCAACTTCGTCTTATAAAAACAACGGAGGGAGCAGTACGTTACTCACATATTTAGCCCAGAAGGACCTCTCTGGCGGCTTCACAACTTCACTCTCTCCATCCCCACCACCAACTACATCTTCAGAAAATACGGGAGCCCTGTAGGGAGGGGAAAAAAAAATAGTAATTGTTGACAAACTAATCGCTCTGCTGTCAGTTAATCAATCGGGCAGACTGAAAGATGAAATCAAGTAAACATGTCAATCAGCTAAACTGCAATTCAAGAGGTTTTGTCCCTATATTTGTCCGTTAGTACTCGGGTCTTCCCTTTGCAGAGGAGAGCAGCTGGCTAGCTTGCAAAGCTCATATTTCACTTTCTCGAGTCCCTTTGTTTTGCACATAAATATACAGAAAGTAATACAAGCTTGAATTCGATCCTAAAATGATCAAAAAAAGCTTTCCTAGGGCATGATGGAAATGCTCTTGGCGACAGAATCTCAGGCATTGCGAAAGGGAAATGTATAGGAGGAGCTAAGGAGGAGGCAGATATCCTCCGGTGAAGCATGAAGAAAAAATAATGATGTGAGGCATTTCGAGGAGGATGTTTTGAATGAAAGGATGAGGTGATATTGGAGGAAGGAGGTACAAAGTGTCAATCCTATGGTCAATCACTGAAAGGAACATCATTAGAGATGGCAGAAAATGGTGCGAACAGAGAAAAGGGAAGACAGAGGTTGAAACTACGGTACACTTGAGAGGAGGGATGCACATCCCAAAATTCACCTTGAAAAAGAGAGTATTAGATGGATATGAAGGGCTGCATCTATTATGCTTAACAGACTAACGATTCCGAAGCTATCAATACAAGAAAGAACATTTACCTTGGTGCTTGTTCACTGTTCCTCAATACTGTGTGTGACCTGAAAGACCACCTTGAAGGCTAAAGCAACATGAAAGAAACGCATGCGATTAGCTTTTGCAACAGAGAATCAGGTACTCAATAAAATATTTGAAGTTTGCACTTGAACTGATGCCATTTAAGGTTTCACAGCCCAATTACTCTTCAAAAACCAGGAGAGATGGTGGTATATTAAACACGCAGATATCAGGTTTACGAGTAAACATGCAGATATTTGGAGAAAGGTATATTGAAATGACAAACCTAAATAGTCACCTGCCACTGCAGTTTTGGATTAAAACATAATTCTAATTACAAGTTTCATATCATGCAATGACCCACAGAATTTGTACAAGAGAATTTCAGTTGGGTCCCCTTAATTTAAAGAAATTTTATCAAGTCTCAAAAGATTTTAACGATGTTAAAATTTAAATTAAAGTATATTTACTAATTTTCCCTTCTTCCACCCCTGAAGAATCCTCCCTACACCACAGCTACAATGCCAAAGCCACCACCACAAAAGTCACCACCGACAACATGCGGAGCTCCATGGCCAATGGCTGGACAGACACTGGAGCTCAGATTGGCAGCATGTCAAGAGAGATGAATTTGGGATTCAAACCTTCAACATGAAGTTTCTTAAAAGACATAATAACCATCAGACCAACAAACACTTCAAGTTTTAAAAGGCAAATATATATATATATATATATATATAAAACCTTTGTAATCTTCAAATGAATGCAAATGACTAGTAAATTTCAAAAGGGTAGGACTATTTTTGCTACAATAAAGTTGCAAATTTTAACAAGGTAATTGTACTTGTAAATGGAGCTGTTTAGTTGATAAAAACCAAGTTCTAATTCCTTCACTTGTGAATTTCAGCAACGTAACTGTAAATATGATATGATACAATTGGGAACCCTAAAATGGTCACTAGTCAATCACCGCTCCGTCATCAATCCAACTATCAGTGATGGCGATTTGGCTGCCACCAAAGATGGCTGAGCTTCAATGGCTGCCTACATGACACAGGTATCATGATTTTTTTTTTTTTTGAGGGGGTGGGGATTTTAGTAGATGCACTTTAATTTTTAATTTTGTTGAAGTCCCTTGAGACTTAAATGAAATCAATTGATCAAACCCCACTCCCACCAACTCTGAACACTCATCCCTAACGTTTGCTCAAATCGAACTTCACCCGTCGGTCATCGACCATCATCGCTGCCCGTTCTACCATTGTCGCTCTCTTAGGCTCCTGACTTTCCTTGTTCGAACTCTATCTCTCTCACCATGTAGCAAAAGTGCAGAACTCATTGTGATCATGATGCATAACTCGTGTTGCTCTCAGCTGTCCTCTCTTGCCATGAAGCAGAACTTGTCGTGAAGCAAAACTTGTCACAACAGTGCTATCCTCTATCTCTCTCAATGAATCTCCTTATCATTTGGTCATTAGTTTTCTGATTGCTATGCCTCTTCCTTCTTTGCATTTTTAATTCAAAATAAGTGGTTACTATGTTATTTGCTGTTACTAATTTGTCTATTGTTTCTTAGCATTTCTGATTCTATTGTTATTTTTTTTATTATTGTTAGACTTTTGAATGGTTATATTTCTATAATTATTGTTGCATTGGTATCTTGTATTAAAGATTAATCTTGGATTTGGTTGAACATTTTTATAATTAATGTCTTTTTATTTAATTTGTATTATTTTAATCATAACGGTTTAACCTCCCGTTCAACCCCAGTTAAACCGCTAACCCTTGACCCAGTGCCTTTACTGGTTCAATGACCAGTCCGGTTTTAAGTACCTTGCCATTTATAGATAATATAACTAAATACCCAAACTACCCTTATATCCCTAATTATCCCTATTACTCCTAACCCCTATGTATCAATACTCCCCCCAACAAGAGATCTTTGTCCTTAAGAATCAATACAAAAGTAGGAAAACAAATATCTAAAATAAAACTTATCTTCTTCCCCTCCTAAGTTGCTAAAACTTGATAAAATAAAATAATTTTAGGACAATATTAATGCACATCAAAAGCCCAAATTTTCTGCAGTGACTCTTCAATCCAAAAGCCTATTATGGCAAGTCACATAAACTTGTGAGACACCCATTGTTGAAGTTGAAGAACACCCAACATCTCCATCTTCGTGACCCAATTCCACCCAAAGGCTTTTTGAGAAGCCTAAACTTCATCAACATAATGTCTAGCAATATTGTATTTATACCCATTTTGGATTATTCCCTTTTCAAGAGACTTTTGGGCCAGGGATGCTAGAGAAGCCCAAAACATGTGAGAAGGGGCTTGCTTGCTGCTGTGTGGAGAATACTTAGAGGATACCAGGGGCAAATCTGCAATTGTGGAAAAATTTGACTGTTAGGGTTTTTTTACAATCACACATGGACCCAACAGATCATTCGAAAAGCTCAAATTTTGGATTGGGTCCAGCTTACTTCCACGAGAAGAGCACATAGCTAGAGGATATTGAGTAAATCCCAACAAAAACCCTAAGTCCATGATCACTTGCAAATCTCCACTCGACCCGTTATCTTCATGATTGAAGCCATATGCTTGAAGGCCACTTACCTGGATACCTTGAAGGTCAACTTGGTCGAGTTCATCACCACCCTCATCTTTGTGTTCGTCGGTGAAGGCGCCGGCATGGCCTTCAACAAGCTAACCAACGATGGTGATGCTGAACTATGAGAGAACTTGACTGCAGGCATTGAGTTTCTGATGCAAAAGGGAGACTTCAACGTTGCCATTGGAATTGTTAAGGAGATGTTGTGCTCTATTTCAAAAATTTGATGATGATGATTGCTCACCTTGTGGAAGGCACATAACAGTAGGTGGTGAAGAACCGACTGAAATATTAAGAAGAGAAGGCCCAAAAATTGATGATGGAAGTATGGTGCAAAAATCTCTCGTTAAGTAGGTCGAAGTCATCAACTGCTCCAAATGCTTTAAGTTGATAAGTGTAGATGAGCTCGTTAATACTAGACACTGTCCCGGTTCTTCACTTAGGAAGCCAATGAGGAGTGTTGTCTGCATATCTTTCTTGACAAAATCACATTCCTCAAACACCGACTTTTCCATTATCGTCACATCTATGCATGCAGACTTTGTAAGCTCTAGTTGTTTCAATTTTTGATCAATAACTTCTTGAATCGTGAACTCCTTCTCGATACTTCTTTATTCTTAATTTTCATCTTCATCAAAGTCATTATGTAGGTTAGTTACATTTGCTGAATAATCGTTCTTCGTGTCTTGATTCCCCTTCTGACCATACTTCTCCTGAAAATCTGCCATATATATGGTGCTAGCTAAACTATTTGGATTGAAGCCTTGGACAAATCTCTGAAGTTCAGGCTAAAGTCTATTAATGAAGACCTTAGTGGTGATGGACTTTGGAAGGTGTGCATACAGTAAGACTTCTCAGAATTGCTGTGCATACTCAGTCACAAATGAAACATGTTTCAACAGTCTTAACTTTGCGACTGCTGTGAAGATTGTTTTCCTAGTGATTTAAGTTGAAGGAGGAATAGTGGTAGTAGACACAGATGTCGTCATTGTTGAAGGAGGGTACAAGTGCTGGTTAACAAGTACAGTGAGCTTAGCAGAGATTTCATTCATCTGTTGTGAAATCCGAGACATAGATTGCTTAAAATCAAGGCAGTGCTCTAGTTCACCTCTAAGATTGGAGGATCGAATCTCCGATGGCTTCTCCATGGCTAGAGAGGAGGCTCTGATACCTTTAATAGGGTTAGAAGAGGGAGAGGGAGAGGGAAAATATATAGAAGGGAGAGAGAGAGAGAGAGAGAGAGAGAGAGAAATAACAATTCCATTCATAATGACCAATTACAACCTAAAGGCCTATATATAGATAATATAACTAAATACCCAAACTATCCTTATAGCCCTAAATATCCCTATTACTCCTAATCCCCATGTATCATCATGTATGAGTGACAAGTCAAGGGTGAAGGATTCCTTGTACAAACATAATTTTAGGTTGACCATAGATGGTGGTATCTAGAACATCAATCTTAAAGTATATTCTTCACAGAAGTCAACTGGGTAAAAAGCATATCTAACTCACCAGCTTCAATTGTCGGGGATAAGGGCATGCTCCAAGGGCACCATAATTGACAGCCACAATGCTAAGGCCTTCCTGTAATAAAAAGATTAGAAGAGTGAATCTGACAAGAATAAAGTGATAAATGGAAACAAATGCCAAGAGAGAACTGTAAAATAACTTATTTTACACATGCTATATATAGTACAGATGAGACAATAATAGAACTGAAATACATACCAACCACAATAACGATCAATATCTACCCATAAGATACAATCTTAGCTTGAAAGACTATGCAATTGGTGGTAACAGAGAAATGATGGAAATGGGAACATTAGATGTTATCAAATCACAAACTTCTAGTTATATAGCAACATGATCCTTTCTTGCTCAGCAGTAAACTACATGATAGTCATTTTCAGGATTTGTATGATGATAAAATAACTGGCAGTGCTCAGGAGTTTATTGTTGTTGTAAATAAATTACCCTCAAAGAGTATTACTACACATTCTTCTTGGTACTAGGATATTTTTGCAAATTTGTTTCTTGCTTTGGGCCTATAAATAAAGGCCTTTACCATACTTGTGACATCATCAGAAATTCCTTCAAAGAAAATTACTCTTTACCTCATTTGCCTAGTCATTCATTCTCCACCTTGCTCATCTTTTCCTTAATAATCCAATAGGCTATATCTCATTATTCAAACAAAAATTGTGGAAAGAAGGGTTCTTGGTGCTAGTACTACTCTCCTTAGTGAAACCTTGCTATGGCACTATAGACAAAGATATCCCAACTTTTAATACTCACCGATGCAAACCTATAACGAGAAGGGTGTCAACATTCCAAGCATATTAGAAATTCCTATCTAAAACGCATGAGTAACCATTAGCTACTCACAGTTACAACATTAATCATCAAATAATGGCTGGTAACTCCCCGAGGCAAATAATGAATAATTTTAACCCCATAATCCCCTCTTGAATGCTTTGCTTTAGGATAAAACTAACCCTAAGGACGAATATAAATAGGGTTTCCATTGCTTTATATGACATCAAGAAACTTGAGAAGTTTCTCTATGATTTGAGAGTGTTTTCACTTTTCCATCCGAGTTCTATACAACTATCCTTCACACAAACACAATGACACAGCAACTAGAAGTCTTTGATCTACTTCTCTAGAATAATCCCCTCAATCTTCTCTCAACTTAGTCTTCACTACTTGGGCTCCTCATCATGGCACCCTAATACACTTGTGCAATTAGTGCTCACTCTTGTTGAGCAACATTCTCTTAGAGAAGATAAAAACTTAATTAGACATTAACACAACCAAAAACTACAGCAACCCTAATGAGTTTGCATACCACAAATAAAAACACCAAAACTTTAGCCTCAATAAGTTTTCTATTTCTGAAGTGCTAAGGAAAACTCAACACCCTAGTACTCCACAAAATATCACTATCACATAATCAATGCCAATAAAGATCATAAAAAGAACTCTGCCTATGTTTATACCTGGTCCTAAGCCTAGGCAAAGGAGGAGAGTTATTTTAGGCTCTCAACAGCTAACGTAAAACTTTGTTGAATCTCATGAATATGAACAATAGTCAGTTTTGTACTAATGACAGGTTGTTGCCTGAAAGTAACGCATTGTGTGGCTTAAGTGCAGTAACAAGTGAGTTAGAACTGCTGCATCTACAGCTTGATTTAGTGTTAAATGAGCAAGGGCTATCAAGTTATTTTAGACGAGAGCCACTAAAGAAGTTAGTTCATATGAGGAAGATCAAATCTTGTACTTGGAATGTTAGGACCTTGACTTGCAAATCTATACAGGTGGTAAGAGTTATGATTCATAGAAGAATTAATATCTTGTGCCTGCAAGAAACTAAATGACTCGATGAACAAGCTAAGAATATTCAAGGCTATAAACTTTGGCATATAGGGAAATTAAGCACAAGGAAAGGGATAGGTATTATTGTTGACGAGGAGTGAAAGAATGTGACAAAAATTAACAAAATTGGGGACATAATTATTTCCTTAAAAATGATCATTGGACATGAGTCTATCAATATTATTAACACTTATGCACCTCAAGCTAAGGTAGAAGCCAGTTTTAAGAAATTATTTTGGAAGACTTAGAGGATTTGATTCAATGCATACCACAAGGTGAAAATATATTTATTCTCAAGAGATTTTAATGGTCATGTCAGGAGAGGGGGAGGTAATTATGCAAGGAATCATGGTGGTTTTGGTTTTTAGGAGTTGAATAATGAAGGACAATCTATTCTTGATTTCTCTTCGGCATATAATTTTAAGATTGTTGACCCTTGTTTAAAGAAGAAGGATGTTCATCTCATCACTTACAAAAGTAAAGTCTCATGATCACCAATTAATTTTTTTTTTTTTGGGTAAGGAACTTGGATGGAAGACTTGGTAAAAATTGTAAGGTGCTTTCTATGGATGGCGTAACAGCACAACATAGAATCCTTTTTCTTGATATGCGTATTACAAGTAAAAATTTGAAGATTAGGTCGTGGCTGTTAAAAGGTGAGAAGCAGGATATTTTAAGAGGAATCTTTTGGCTGAATGAATTTGGGAGTCTTAAGGGAGTGCTAGCATTTTGTGAGAGAATATGACTAAGAAGGTAAGGAAGGTTGCCAAAAAAGTTTTGGGAGAGTCAAAAGGTATTGGTCCAAGAGATAAGAAGTCTTGGTGGTGGAATGATAATATATAAGAGAAAGTCAAACATAAGAAGAATTGTTTAAAAACCATCTATTTGAACAATAATGATGAAAAATTGGGAAAGGTATAGTATGACTAAGAAAAAAACAAAGAAAGTTTTGAGCAAAGTGTATTCTAAATTATTTGAAGAGTTTTTCATTGGTCTTGAGACAAAGAAAGAAGAACAAAAAATTTATTAAATTGCTGAGTAGGAAAAAAATTGAGAGATTTGGAACAAGATATATAAAGGATGAAAAGGAAGAATTTTGATTATCGATGGTGTTATTAAAGACAGCTAGGAGACCAACTTTTACAAACTTTTTAATGATGGAAGGGGCTCACCTAATAACTTGGAATATTTAGCAACTCATAAAGGAGAATAATTTGTCATTCCATCGAAAGATACACGATATTAAGATAAAAGTTCTTAAGAAAATGACAAATCGTAGAACCAATGAACCTAATTGTATCTCTATTAAAATGTAAAAATGTTTAGGTGAAGAGAGGGTGCAATGGCTAACTAAATTATTTAATGGGATCTTACAATCCAAAAAAATGCTTGATGAATGGAGGGGAATCACCTTAGTCCTTATTTACAAAAATAAAGGAGATATTTAGAATTATGCAAACTACAATGGGATTAAACTTATGAGTAATGCAATGAAATTGTAAGAAAAAATGATTAAGCATAGGTTAATATTGTAGACTGGTATTTCTAAGAATTAATTTAGCTTTATGCTAGGTAAGGCTACTGTAGAACCAATTTATCTACCAAAGAGATTAATGAAAAAGTATCGATGCAAAAGTAAAAATTTACACATAGTTTTGATTAATTTGAAAAAAACTTATGACTATGTACCAAGATAAGTACTTTGAAAATGTGAGATGGAGGGTGTAGAGGTTGTCACCACCAAAGGAAGCGGTGGAGGGTTACTTGGTGGCATGTTAAATGGTTCACCCATAGTGACCACAAGAAGGCATAGGGGATGGTTGGCAATCATAGAGAACTTAGCTGAGAGTTCATTCATTTGGTTGGAAAGTTGAGATATGGTTTGCTAAATCTCCATAACGTCGTGGGTGTGTTGGTCTAGTGTTAGCTAGTTACATTGAAGCAAAGTTGATTGCATCTCCAAACAATGTTCAAGGTTACCAATGCATTCATTAGATCATGTCTTTGGTAGAGACATGGCTAGAGAGGAAGCTCTGATACCTTAATGTTAAGAAGATAAGAGAAAGGAAGAAAGAGGTTAATTCATTTCACACACTCCCATTACATTCTTAGGACCCTATTAATAGATATTTAGAATATTCCCAAGCTACCCTTTTATCCCCTAATTTCCCTAATTGCCTCACTATTCCTAGTTCCCATGTATCACAAGGCATATCAAAAATAAATATTCATTTAATCTCTTTGGAGATTTTCCTAAATGTGACTATTGAGAGATCACAGAGCGACTTACTTGTTCTACATTTTCTTAATAGATTTATTCTACTTTATTCCTTTTATCAATATTGGGCACTTACCATATTCATCATATTAGAATTGGATTTATCATATAGCACTTTACTAAGATTAAAGGTCACTTGATAGTATAATTATATAATAATTGCATTTAAAGGTTAGTGTTTTGCATTTTAGTTTAGGTCCATTTCTTTGTATCCTAATCACTTAAAAGTTGAACCTAAGAAAGCCCATAAATTGCTACTTGGTGCTAATGACCTCAGTAGACCCTATACTATAGAAATAATTTGGACCTTGTTAGTTGATAGCTGACACAATTAAGGGCTGATAACATTCAAAGAAAAGTACAGAGTGGTTGCAGCAGACTTGCAACTGAATACTGAAAAGGAGGGAGACAACTAGGAGAGAATAAAGCAACATAAATGAGAAAATAAAACCCTGAGATATCAGGGATAAAACAGACAATCACAAATAACCGACAACCATTTAAATAAAAACAGATAGTTAGAGAGAATATCAATCTCATCATGCACCAAATCCTGAATAACAAGTGCGAGAAACTGTCTTTGCATGAATAATGTAATTTATAATAACAATGAAAATTACCATGTGTATTACAAAATTCTCCTCTAAACCTTCTCCTGTAAGACATCGCTGGATTCAAAAAGAAAGAATCATTACTTCTGTCAAGTAAAATGCTCACAATGATGCAACAAGAAGTAAATGAGGTAAAAACCAGAAGAGTGAAAAATGTGGTGGCAATGGAATTAGAACAAGCATGTGAACAAGGAAAGACTAAGAGAGAATAAAAAGAGGATCACATCTATAAATTAATATCAAATGATAAAGGTATTAGAATCTTAGTTTCAAGCAATGTTGTTACCTAGAATCCTAATCTAGGGAATGAAAGCAATTCAGCCAGGCAATGATTTAGAAATTTCAAATTCACAAGCACCTGGAACCTGAATCATACTTACAGCTTTCACTGAGGATATAATATAGTCCCTACCAGGAGGGCTCAAAACATTGGACGGCAGTCTTATCCTATAGAAATCATCTTCTTGCAACAGCTTCTGTCATGAGTATCAGAACTTTCTATTGAGCCGATATCCCATAAATAAATAGATAAATAGACAGAAGGTAAATAAATACTTACTTCAAAATTATTCTGCTCAATTTTATTGAAAGAGTTTCTTAAAAACCGCAGCTTTGTGAGTGTCTGAAAGATTGAAATTGCATTTCAGAACAAAAGCACAAATGAAGCAACCAAAATGTTATGTAATTGTAATATTGAAATATTAGTTACTTTTAGTTAGGCTAGTTGTGGGAAATAGCCGTTGGGTAGTTATTAGGATTAAGAGCCTGTATATACTAGAGATACCCTTGTAATCCTTATGTCTTCGCTATTCCAATGAATTGATCATATTATTCAGAATCCCGTGTCTCTCATTCTCTTCTCTCTCAATCTCTCTGCAACTCTTTCTCTCTTCTCTGTTCTTCTCCCTATTTCTCCCTATCTCTCTCTCTCTCTCTATATATATATATATCAGAATTACACTGATATAACACAAACATCCAAGGGGCATTGATATGAAAGTGTTGAGCAAAACAACTATACATGACAATGGATACGGGCCTTATAAACCAAATGTCCTTATAGGTCCAAAATGGTCTGCACACATTGACAATTGTTGAATTGCCCTTTTAGTGGTCACGTTACCATGATTCTAACCTAGAGGGATTCACCATCTATTCATTATCTATCTTTTATTAGATAATCCTACATTACCAGATCATTCATTATCTATATTTTATTAGATAATCCTAGATCACCGAATCTAGGGCACACAGGCTAGAGGAATTCAGTCTTACTATGTGTACTGTTTTGCAGTGAGGCAGTTCATGAGTAAGCCATAAAAAGAGCATATGGAAGCTATATACAGAAACTTGAGATATTTGAAAATGACACCTGGAAAGGCCTATTATTTGAGAAAGGGAATTCTTGAGGTATTGAAATCTTTACAGATACTGACTGGGCAGGACCAATGATTGATCGGAGATCCACCATTGGCTGTTGTGCCAATATTTGGGGAGATCTGGTCACTTGAAGGAGTAAGAAACAACCAGTATTGACTAGAAGCAGTAGAAGCCAAGTACAAGGCCTTATCATCAGGCACTTGTGAAGGAATGTGGATTGTTAGGCTATTAAAGGAATTAAAAATTGAAGCCTTTGGGCAATGAAATTATGGTGTGACAACGAAGGCAACGACTAAGATTGTGAATAATCTTGTTCATCATGCTGATAGGCAGGAATTTCATAAAGGAAAAGATTGGAGCAGGTACAATTGATTTGTCCAATGCGACCTCTCACTCTCAAGTTGCTGACCTTTTTACTAATGTTTTATCCAGAAAGATTTGAACTACTTTGCAACTAGTCGTGAATGATCAACAGCTTGAGTGCTGGAGATCGATTCTGTCAATTTTTATTTTTTTTTTGTCTTCATTGTATTTTATTTTACGCATTTTCACCCTTGACTTCATGGGGTCTTTATCTTCTGCAATCATGTTCTGTTATTTCCTTGTAGGGTTAGTTTGCAATATGTGCTATCAACTCGCCTATGTAATCCGTATCTGCTTTGCTCGAATAGCATATTGGGGTTTGATATTTCTCCCTCTCCTCTTACCTCAATCACAAGAGGGGAAAAACACAGACTCTTCATACTAAACTCCAGACTACACTCCGGTGGAGTTCTAAGTTTCGCCGCTTTTTTCAAGCGATCACCTCAAGCACCAACAGTAATGTTGCAGATGCCGCACAGCATGGGCATTGTAAGTAGGTGCAAATTAATAAAATTGTTCCTTGGAATTTCTGAAATTAAGTTTAAGGAACAGCACAGAGCCACAGTCAAAGCACCTGAATTCAACAACGAGGATAGCCAACCAACCTGGCCGCCGTGATTCCATATCTTAAGGCGAGCAGAAAAATTGCCGGCGCCAGAGAACAGGGAGTCTCCAAAAGCGTGTTCGAGGTCGAACTGGATCTTGGAGTCTGATCCGGATTCGGAAAACCTCTTTCGAGAGGTGGTAGTAGCGGTGGGAGGCGGTGATTGAGTCCGAGCGAGCCCTCCCTCGAGGCCAAATTCTTCGTCGTCGATGAGAAGCTCATCCGATTCGAAAGCCAGCGACGAAGCAAGCAGGAGACACGCGGTGAATGCTAAGATAAACTGGAATACACTCATTTTGTCGCCTCGGCAGGCTGTAGATGCAGTTCAGGCGGCCGCGGGGTTCTTTTCCGTGTGTTTCTATGTAGTTACTTGCGGACGAGGAGCAAGACCGCTTGGGCTAAAGTCTTGGGAAATCAGCCATATTAAAATTACCTTTTAGATTCATTTGATATCCAAAAATTAATTAGCAGCAATTGGATTAGTGGGGAATGTTGGAGTAAACGAAAAAAATTTGGATAAAGCTAGATTTAAATGTTGGCTAAGTAAGCTTCTTATAATAAAAGTAGTTATGAACTTTATACCATCCCCGTAGGGGTGGTGAAGGAAAGGTAGAGTAGATATTTACATGATAAAATAAAATTATATGATAAAGTTGTTAGAGCAATTATGTTCAATAAAAAAAGATTTTTTCTTTTTCACCAATTTCCTTTTTTATAACATACGGCACAATAATTAAAATTGAATTATCGTAGTTTTTAAATAAAATATCAATCCACATTTGATTTGAGTTTCGATTGAAATTTGAATTCAATTGAAGACTAATCTTATTTTTAAGGATTCCTATTTCAAGCATTAGATCTCATATCTCAATTAAGAGGAGTCATGGAAAGAACAGGTTCAAAATCTTGATCAATGCCTTTTCAAATCTTGCTATAGCTGTGCGAACTCTTCTCGCATGCCATAAATGACCTATGAAAAAGAAGAATCCTAAAACAAAATGAGAGGTAGGTAACTAACTTCTAGGATATACATAATTTTTAATATTAATTTAAAAATATAAGAATAAAAAATAGAAACAAAGCAAATCCTATTTCTTACAAAATAGGATTTTCAAGATAAGAAATAAACAAACTATGATAAATCTAAGTGACTCTTTCTTAAATCCAAGCGATCTTTTCGTAAACATTTGTCCCCAATCCAATCGAGGATCGAATTGATTATAAAAATATGAGTTTAATTAGTTGATTTATTAGTGAACAAGAAAAAATATTATCTGATGGGTGAATAGATTGACCTTAAAACAACAACAATTAATTATGATTGCTATAAAACAAGCTCGTATTTAATCAAACAAAGGGGGGAAAAATTTGAGGTATGGAAGAAGATTGGAGAGCACGGGACAAAGGCACACCGACAAAGTCATTCAACTATTGCTGTTTGATTTTTAATTTTATGGACAGCTAATTTTTTTAATGTGATCAATTATAAACTATGATCCTAAATTTTAATAAAAGTTTTTGATATTCAGAAAATATTTTATTTTAACTTTATCCCAATTTTCTTTTTTTTCTTTCTACATCTAAATTTTATGCCTTAATTATTATTAATGATTAGAATAGTTTTATTGCATGATTTTTGGTTTATAAATTTAATTTGAGATTTTGCTTGCTATAATCGATTGCTATAGCAACATAAGAGCATTTGGCTTGGCTTGAGTGATTACTTATGCTTTATTTCTAGTGTGGCTAATATAAAACAATTAAAAGATTTTAATTAATCTATAATTTAATTTTTTGTTTAATTCTTGAATGATATTTTGAAAAATATATAATAAGATGAAAACAATAAAGTTAAATAAAATTAATTTTTTTGTGGACGAGGAAGGTTGAGCTTAGTTGATTGTGTTGTGAATGATTGCACTACTTGTGCTTGATAATTTTCTCAATTGAACATGTTTTAATTATTTAATTTTAATTTAGTTTTTTAAATTAATTTTGTCATAAAAAATTTCCCCCATTATTTAACTTTTCTTAATCATAATTCAAATAGTTAATCTATTGATTCTTAGAAGACCATCTAGGTTTTGTTTTACTGTAAAATCTAGTTTTTATTAATTTTAGTGCTATTCGATAGTAGTGTCAACGAGGTGAATATAGGAAATAGCCTTAGATGAGAATTTCCAGTCTAGTTATTGGGGACTTTAGACCTCCAGATGCACCCTTATTTTTAAAGGATGAAGTCCCACCACAAATGAGATTCTGCACAAATGCACTTAGTTTCTCCTAAAGCAGGTAGTCAATGATGAACTGAAGCACTCAAACTTTCACGAAGATCCCAATTTAGAAGACATCTAGACTCTACAACCTGACTGTGTTCACATCAATGTAAATGGCTTTATATGGAATTTTCAACATGCTACTTGCGGAGAGGTCATTAGAAACAACAAGGGTTACTACCTTATGGGCTTCCATAAGAACCTTGGAGCGTGCTAGTTATTATATGTAACATTCAAGAAATTTAATCATAGTTAATTAACTTAATGAGTATAATTGGTGAGTTGGTGAGGTATGCGGTCAAAGGGGTCTAATTGGTGTAATTAATTATAATTTCAGCCCTAGAAATGGGTCCGGAGTGAAGTAGGCCCACTTGGGTAAGAAAGAGGAAGAAAAAGCAAGAAAAAGCACTTTATGCCATATGTTGTGGCATGTGGTCAATCCGTTATGGCACACAAAGGTAAATTTAAATGCAACGGGCCTCTCTGTGCCATGTGTCACAGCACATGGCTAAAAATTTGATTTAATTGGTTTGAATTTGCATGCGAAATCAAAAGATGAGTAAGGGAGAAAATGAAAAACACAACTTGGCTCTGCTAGGGCACGTGCATTGGGATAGTTAAAAGCTTTCTAACACCAAAGGTAAGAATAATGAGCTTCCCATCTTTCTTTCTCTCCCATATTTATGAAGATCTTGTTAGATATGGCAAAACACTTAAGAAAGGGGTGAATTAGGTGTTTCATCAAAACTCTATTCAAAGAAGATTTTGGCAACTTTGAGTTCTAAACTATAAGTGTAAGAATGTCAAAGTTGTTTTCACAATTTTAATTTGTGTATGAATGTCTAAAAGCAATTTATAAGTGCAAGTTTGAGTAAGAACATGTAAAAATATCAAATTTAATTTTATACACTAAAACATAGCATTAACTAAGGTTGGTGGAAATATAAAGAGTTAAGGGAAGAAAGATTGCAAATAATGATTTATTCTACTTTAGCTCCTTCTCTTCAGCCTACATCCAGTCCCCAAATAATTACTTGAGATTTCTTCACTGTAACACAAACTTGAGTAAGTACTTGCCACCTCATATATATACAAGTTTAGTTTAAGCACTTGTAAGTCATTACAATAACTTACTTTCCTAGTGAGCTTCTTTTCCTAAGAGAGAAACCTCTCTTGATTCCAAGAAAAAATCTCTTCCTCACCTTTACAAAGGTTAAGTATGTGAATCACTCAATTGAAACTCTCTCTAAGAGTAACGATGAGTATAATGAAGCTCTTATACTCAAAAGATGAAAATATAAATGATCTTGACTCAAGAATAATAATTTTCATATAATAAGAGTAATATGATTATGAATTTCATAACTCAATAATTTTTGAGATTAATCTAATGTCAAGATCAAATTTGAGTGTTAAATTTATAACTCATAGAGTGAAATGATAAAGATATTAAATGATCGTTTAGAGACGTTACATAGGTGATTATAACTATTAGTGCATTTTTTTATGAGTGAATAGTGCTAAATGATGTGTGTTTTAGAGGTTTCTCAAGCAAAAATGACATATTACACAAGTTTTGGAAGTGTCTTACACGTGATTTGACTTATAGAACTTATTTAGTGAAAATGAGGCTTCTAGATATCATTTTTTTTGCATGTGCACAAGTTGTTTCACACATGATTGAGCATTTAGAAGCTATTCAGTGTGAAAATAAGCTTCTAAATGCATTTTCATGTGTGGTCGAGAGGTGTTCTCACGCAATTTTTTGCATTAGTGCTAAATCATGCATGGTTGACTGACGCTCTCACGTGTGATTCTGCAACTTCATTATGCAAAATTTCATAATGTCCTAACTCACTCAATACAACTTTAAATTTAACAAATTATATATCATTAGAAAGATCTTGAAATTTAGTTTTTAATGAAAGAAGTTTCACACTTAGATTCAATGTATAGTTTTAGATATGATCAAAAGAGTGTTTGAAGGTCAAGACTAAAATCTATACAAAATTAATATCTCAAAACTCAATTTTAAAATTCATATTTTTCTTAATAGAATTTCACTTTGAATAAATAAATTATCATTGAAAATATGTTGTAGTTTGTTTTTCAAATGAAATATATTTCATATTAAAATGATTTTTGTAATGAGAGACATGGCATGAAACATGACCAAAGGTCAAAACTGATTTTTTGTATAATTCACATTTATAGCTTAGACTTCAGGTGTTCATGAATTTTTCAACTTAAATCTATTTTGAGTAAATAGAACAACTTTGAAAACTTTATGGAGTTAGTAAACAAAATGTTTCAATCTTTGTGAGACATATATAATGAAAGATGAAAACCATGATTATAAAAAATTATATCTCACTCTTTCTCTTAATAACTAAAATGCATGTTTTGATTTAAGATTTTAAGATTTCTTGAGCCAATACTTCATATCTAAATCAATGTGTTTAATATAAAGACTCTTAGTCTAATGATATCATACCTATCAAGTCCAAGGCTTTCAAGGTGTATCCAAACTTATATGAATGTTTTCATTCTTCATAAGCTCTTCTTGGATCATCCTTCTCTTTATCTTTATGTTCTTTAATAATGAGTGTAGCATGCAAATAATGAATTCATCTTTTTTCCTCTTCATGGTTATTCTTATCTTTAGTTTGGATAACTTTAAATGATATACCACAAACAAGATGGTTAGTCTAAGTATTAATATGCATATATCTAAGTTGTGAAAGATAATACTATGAACACTCTTGGATATAAAACTGATTTAAGATGAGGAAAAATATGATAGTATAAAATACTTTGATACACACAAATCATTTTTCCAAATCTCATATAATATGAAACAATATGAGTAAAAACACTTTAAAGTACTTGTTCCATAGTTATAGTTATCTATTATATATATGAACACAATCAGGCATAAGTATAGTTAATTTATCTATATTTGTCATCATCAAAATTTAAGCTAACACATAATGTCACAAGTCATTATGTCCAACAGATTTGAGTTAAAATTTGAGTTGGGAGATTGATTTTTAGTTTATAGGAGCTATGAGTCCGAACCCATTGGTTAAAATATATATAAAGGGAGTTGTTTAGGGTAGATAAATCCTATATT